GGCAGAGCCACGTCAAAACATCAGGAACATGTCAAACCACGGCTCAGCCACGTCACACAGAGGCACAGCCATGTCACACCATGGCAGAGCCACATGGCACCATGGCAGAGCCACATCAAGCCATGACAAAGCTACATCACACCATGGCAGGGACATTTCAAACCTCAGCTCAATCACATCATGGCAAGGACAGCCCAAACCATGGCACAACCACTTCAAACCACGTCAAACCATGGTAGGAACACGTCAAACCACAGCTCAGCCACATCACACCGTGGCACAGCCATGTCACACCTCACCAAAGCCAGGACATACCCTGGCAGAGCCACATCTCACCATGGCCCAAAAAAGGTCACACCGTGGCAGGGACACATCAAACCACTGCAGAGCCACATGGCACCAGGGCAGGGACAGGCCACACCATGGCAGAGCCACATCAAACCACGGCTCAGCCACATCACACTGTGACAGGGACACATCACACCGTGGCACAGCCACGTGGCACCTCACCAAAGCCAGGACACACCCTGGCAGAGCCACACCAGATGTTGGCAGAACCACACCAGATGTTGGCACAGCCACGCCAGACCATGGCAGAGCCAAACCAGATGTTGGCAGAGCCACTTCAGACCTCAGCAGAGCCAAACCAGATGTTGGCAGAGCCATGCCAGATGTTGGCAGAACCACATCAGACCTCAGCTCAGCCACGCCAGGTGTTGGCAGAGCCACATCAGACCTCGACAAAGCCACACCAGACCTCGGCAGAGCCACCCAGGCTCCTCTGCCACAGCACAACCAAAACACCGACACGGCAGATCCGGCACCGCGGCCCCTCCCCGAGCACCCCGCACACCGTGCCCCGGCCGAGGCCGCGGGGCCACGCTCTTCTTGGTCGCCACACGAGCCCCCAGGGCAGCCCTGGGAGCACAGCACGGGCCTGGCCGTGACCTGGGGAAGCAGCACAAGGCAAAGAGGCGGAGAGAGCCGAGGCGGTTAGTGCCGGGAGAGCCAGAGGCAGCCGGGAGCCCCGTGTGGCTCTCACCTCGCCCTCAGCCTTGCTGTTCTCCCTGATGACTTTGATCCAGGCCAGCATGTCTTCCCGATCCTCTGCCTGAAAGAGATATTCACAGAAGTCAGCGGTCGTCAGGCGGAAGACGTGCTTCCTCTTGGTGTCGCTGTACGAGATGTCCACCAGGCACGCTTGGATGCTGATCGGCGGCTCCTCCTCACCTGGGGCCGGGGCGCAGGTCACCGCCTCCCGCCTGTCCTTGCACAGGTACAGCGAGTGCGTGCGCAGCACGGCGAACACGCGCTTCCACTGCCGGATGCCTCCGCCGACCTTCTGCGGGGACAAGGGAGGGGATGGGGTGGCGGCTGTCAGGCTCAGGAAAAAAAAACAACAAACTCTCCTAAGGGTTTTTTTTGGTTTTTTTTTTTCTAGTCCGGCTTTCTCAGGGTTCTTTCCCAAAGCTAACGGCTCTTCTCGAATGTAAACATAAGAGAAGAATTGAAAACAAAGATAAACACCTGCTGGATACGTGGGAAAAGCCTGGGGAAGTGGTGTTGCTTTCTCTGCACCAATGGGCTGTGCTTTGCTCTCGAGTTAATGTCCTGAGTGCATCTAAGCAAGGCGTGTTGGAATAAAGTCGTCTCTTTCCCATCTTCAGAGAGACCATGAGTGTCTTACTCAAAGGGTTAATGCCCTAACAATGGCGAGGTGGCCTCGGGGACTTCGGGAGTGGCACCGGCAGGAGGGTCGGGGGTGAAGCCGAGCCTACCTTCCCCTTTTTGGTGAGGATCTGCTTGCAGTGGAGCCAGCCCTCCTTCCTCACGGCGCTGAAGGGCGCGTCCGAGAGCTCGGAGGTGGAGTGGCGTTTGGAACGGGCGTCTTCGGATGTGCCCAGGCTGTCCAGAGACTGCGGGGGGACAAAGGGACGTGTGGGGTGAGGCCAGCAGCACCTCCTGCCCCACCGGGGAGCTGCCGGGAATCCCTGTCCTGCGGCTCTCTGCGCCCCACAGAGTCACACACCCCACAGTGTCCAATATCCCAGAGTCACACATCCCACAGAGTCCCATACCCCACAGAATCCCACACCCCTCTGCACCCCACAGAATCCCACATCCCCACAGAGTCCCACACCCTACAGAATCCCACATCCCACAGAATCCCACAACCCACAGTGCCCCACATCCCACAGAATCCCACAACCTACAGAATCCCACACCCCACAGTGTCCTGTGCCCCTCTGCACCCCACAGTATCCTGCACCCCTTTCCACCCCACAGAGTCCCACATCCCACAGAATTCCACACCCCACAGTGTCCCACACCCCACAGTGTCCTGCACCCCTCTCCACCCCACAGTGCCCCACACCCCACAGTGCCCCCCCCGTGTTTTTAGGGCAGCCCCCATCGCTGCACTCACCCCGTCGGTGAAGAAGCTCCTCAGCATGCGGAGGCTGGGGACCCGGCTGGGCATCCTCCTGGGGGGAGAGCAGCCCCCATCAGTGGGGAAGGGGTGGCGTGGGATCTGTGGGAGCTCTGAGACCACCACGGGGGTCTCCAGCCCTACCTTAGGATCTTGCCCTCATCCCGAAATGCGTTCAGGCCGTCGTCGCAGGACTTGGAGCGCTCGGTGGTGATGGCCAGCAGGTAGGAGGAGCGGCGACCAGCCTTGATGCTGCCTGCGGTGGGGAGGGGGCAAAGCCCGCCCTGCTCAGCCCCGGGGGTGCCAGGGGGGGCTCTGGGGCAGGGGGCTGCTCCCCTCCAGGATTTCCAGGGTGGTTCCCCCTCCCCAGCACTTACTGCAGTCCTGGGAGTAGTGCCGGGACAGGGCGAAGGCGAAGGGGGGCGAGGCGGGGCTGGTGGCCACGGCGGGAGCCGAGTTCATGGCGCTGGACACCACCGAGGAGGCCGGGACGTGCTTGGCCTTCAGGTCGATGCTGGGGCTGGTGGGTTCGTCTGTGAGGGGGGTGGGCAGTGTTGGAGGGGGGGTTTGGGGCAGGGGAGGTCCCTGCTGGGATCCCCTGGTGCGTCTGAGGATGGTGGGTTTGGTGTCAGGGTTGGGTGGGGACATGCTCCCACCCCCAGGAGCTGATGGGGCACCTGGATCCTCACTCACAGCAACCCTGAGATCCCCATCCCATCCTCATTCCATCCTATCCTCATCCCATCCCATCCCCATCCCATCCCATCGATCCCATCCCATCCTCATCCCATCCTATCCTCATCCCATCCCACTGATCCCATCCCATCCCATCCCATCCCATTGATCCCATCCCATCCCATCCCATCCCATCC